GACGTCATCGGTTACATTACGTCACAATCAAATGACATCACTAATCTGTGCGCTACAGAAGCAGTACTTTTTACACTCAAGACACTGACAATTTAAAAATAACAAGCCAATTTTTTTACCAGGAATAATCTCACCCTGGTATTCTGAGAAGAGTCTAACACTCTCATTGAAGTGCGATTATGTTATACCGATACGTTGGATATAGGGGAGGTGCGTGTCTACTTTCTTAATAGTTATTCTGCCTTGGCAGGTTGGCACTACTTCTGCACAGCCTGGAGGGTTTGATAAATACTGCTTTTACTTTTTCGATCGTAACGTAATCCAGAAATCCATATAAATGCCAATACATTACGATCTACACTTGAAATGACCCACTCATCAGTGATCCTCGCATTCTTTCCAACTAACAAGGGGGCACGGTGGCCCAGCCGTTTATGGCGCCGCAATTCGCTGTACAGAGTTGCGTGCCTTGGGCATGTCCGGTTCGCCCCGATTATGTTTCTAGGTTTGTCAGCACCATATCTGTGCTCGTGGGTTTTAACAAAGTGGTAAATGTCTGAGACCTGCATCACTTGGGGCTTTCGTCCCACATTAAGCTGGCACGCCGTGAAATAACTGGAATACTGTTAAAAGCGGCGTTAAACCAACTCTCAGCAACCCATGCTTGCCGTAAAAGGTGACTATGCTTGTCGTAAAAGGCGACTAACGGGATCGGGTGGTCAGGCTCGCTGACTTGGTTGATGCATGCCATCGATCCCAATTGCGTGGACCGATGCTCATGATATCAATCACTGGATTGTCTGGTCCAGACTCGATTTATTTACCGCCGTCATATAGCTGGAATATTGCTGAGTGCGGCGTTAAACAACAAACCAACCAACCAACCAACCAACCAACCACTCAAAATAACAAGTAAGAACGCGGGGACACGTGTGTTGTTTACCCCTCGACTGGTGCTATATGTATGACAGATTCCCATAATACTCACGGTGTAACCTAGTCTGTCATACACACCCTGAAACAAATATATCCAATACAGCCCATGCAAGTCTACAATATTTGGCAAGTCTAGATTACTGCAGTATCACGGGGTCACTGGGCTCCTTTTTTATTATATTTTTTATGACTATAATTTAACAACTGTTTTTATCTGTGAAATATGTTCATTTAAGGGACTAGATTTTAGCCAAAAGAGAACCCTGTTCAAATGTAAAGAACTTTATATCTCGGCTCAGATTGTTTCATTTTTGTTTTGCTTAATCCTATATCTTTTCTGCTCTATTTGGTTCTGCATCTTCAATGCGGGTTTGCTTTGTATACAACCCGCCTCCATGTTCTAGTGGACAGCATGTTTGTCTGGAGAGGGAAAGGTAGGTAGTTCGATCCGCGGTCGAGTCATACCAAAAGAAGTTGAAAGAAGGTACTTGTTGTTACCCTGTCGGGTCGGCATGTAGGGGACAAGTGAGTGAGTGAGTGAGTGAGTTGGGTTTAACGCCGCTTTTAACAGTATTCCAGTTATATCACGGCATGTCAGCTTAATGTGGGAGGAAAGCCCGAATTTATGCAGGTCTTAGACGTATATCGCTTCGGTGAAACCCACGAGCACGGGTATGGTGCATATACGGGTTCCTCAAAATGTGTCTTCAAAGACAACTTCACAGTCGAATGAACATGATCCATAAACGCTTTAACAAGTACAATTGTGTTTTATGAGTGAGTGAGTTTGGTTTAACGCCGCTTTTAACAGTATTCCAGTTATATCACGGCGTGTCAGCTGTGGGAGGAAAGCTCCAGGTGATGCAGGTCTCAGACGTTTACCACTTCGGTGAAACCCACGAGCACGGGTATGGTGCTGACAAACCTAGAAACATAATCGGGTCGAACCGGGATTCGAACCCACAACCATAGGTTTCTGGCGTGCCCAAGGGACGCAACTCTGCACAGCGAATCGCGGCGCCTTAGACGAATGGGCCACCCGTGTCCCCTGTAGGGGACAAGACATGGACTGCATGGACGGCTCGGAGTCAGTATACTGCATGTATCTGAGAAGGGTACCCATGCGCTAAAGCAGTGTGGTATCTCGGTGGACAAGCACGATAAAACCGGCATTTTTCCGGACTAGTACAAGCAGGGGTGGTGGCTGTCGTTCGCTCGTCACGCCGAAGACCCGGGTTCGATTCCCGACATGGGTACAATGTGTGAAGCCCATTTCTGGTGTCCCCCGCCGTGATATTGCTGGAATATTGCTAAACGCGACATAAAATCAAACTCACTCACTCCTCCAACACGGAGTGTTTACGTGAAGCACATGAAATGTTAATAATGTTGGTTATGTTTCTTTAGATATTATGAGACGTTGATACGATTCAATGTTATAAAACAAAGTCTGATTCAATCTGGGTAGAGCTCTCCCGAGCTCTTATCACTTTAACACGCCCACCTTATCGTGAGACGCTTTAAGGTCGATATATTGAGGTGATCGGATGGTTTGTGTCACAAGCTCTCGGCAGCAGTAGATATACCCTAATCCCCGACCTATAGACACTGGGGCTCGCTTCGAAACACAGGCTAATAGGTTGTCTGAGCAAGAGCAAATTCCACTATTCCGGTGGACGTTACTATTTTATATACAAACACTAAGGAACACAATTGTGGAACAGATACTCAATGTGCAAATCCGGGATTTAATTGATTGAGTGACTTCGATCTTTGTCACTAAATGAAAGAAATAAGTATAAGTAGATAAATAATGAGAAAGTATGTGGTTGATTTGTTTCTTTTACACCGCGTTATGCATTACCCTTATCATGTCACGGTGGGTGACACCAAAAGTAGGTTATCACCCATGTGGAGAATCGAAACTTTTAACCACTTTCAGCTATCGAGTTCTTTTTATATAGACTCTGTGATATCTTTACCTTCTGTCTTACTATACATGTTAACAGTTTTTTTCACGAAAGAATAATTGACTACTAAATGACTGTGATATTGACAACCGAACGTTAACCATTGACTCACTTACGTCACCATGCCTCCACATGCGTATATATATATAGAGTGAGTGAGTGAGTGAGTGAGTATGGTTTTACGCCGCTTTTAGAAATATTCCAGCAATATCACAGCAGGGGACACCAGAAATGTGTGAGAGAGATATAGATATTGATATATATAGATGCGTCATACATGTATATCCCCGTTTTATGGGTTTTCGGACGCTTAGGAAACATTCGTAGTTTTCTCTCTATTCATATGTACAACTGTTAACATCTCATTCAATTTTAAAAGACAACTTTCTCTTTAAAAAAAGCCATCATCGGAATATTTACAATGTCTGTGTTCTACTACACCCCCGTTATAGTGCGAGTAATCCCCATAACCTATGATCCGACGATATACCTAAACAAGGTATAACAAATAATACAGCGAGATACACAAATCAGTAATCTGATGTGTGTGTGTTTGTTTGTTTGTTGTTGTTTAACGCCTCACTCATCAATATTTCAACAATATGAGAGCGGCCTGTAAATAATCGAGTCTAGACCAGACAATCCAGTGATTGATATCATGAGTATCGATCCATGCAATTGAGATACGACGACATACATCAACCAAGTCACCGGGACTTACCACCCGATCCATTTAGTCGCCTCTTACCCGCATCCTGACATCCAAATTATATTTGTAGATGCATATATGCACAACAGGTTTATTACTCGTTTCTAGGGCATTGATCATGTGATTAGATAGGATTGACTTGAAAGGTAAAACAATAAATACATCACAAAGTATTGCTACTTTAAACAGGCACTTCATTCATAGATCTTTCATGCGTTTTCATTCTCGTAAATATATCATTGATCGATTTATTTCAGCCTTTTTCAAATAAAACAGAAGAAAGTATGAACACAAGGAACGTAATATCTGGCTCGATGAGACTTCCGTGATGCCTACGGTTCTTTAACCACAAACAAACTAACACTCTTGTACTTTAAGTGAACGCAACTGTTTGCTCATAGCGATATAAACACTCCTGACACGCATGGCTGTCGCTAAACGTGTCATAGCATACTCCAGCTCTCATGTTTATAACTATACTTGAAATATTTGAAACTGGCGCAATGACACGCGGCACAGGAAAGACACTCTGAGTTTTGGAGAAAAAAAAAATTGCACGTGCTTTTTTTTAAGTAAGAGACATATTAAGACAAAATTGTTATGGATGAGCAACTTCTTTATTACAATTGGGCCAATTCTTTATGCCCAATTGCAATAAAGAAGTTGCTCATCCATAATTAGTTACCATTCCAACTTCTAAATGCCACTCAAAGAAGTTATGAGACATATTACAGAATAACGTACGTGTATTTGGTCTAAAGCATATTTCAAAATCATTGTAATTATGTTTAAATAACAGTAGACAGTTGACCCTAATTCAGATTCTTATCAAGATCTATCATTAACATTATAATTATAATTCTATATCAACTAAACCATGATATTTGCGTTGTATATAATTACATGTTTCATTAATTGGGTTTCGTAATTTTGATTTTTAGCTATAAGGGCCAACAGATATCTCTCACATTTTGCCTCACAGATGCGTTTGTACCCATTAATATAAGTAAGTATTTATAATATTTGTTATTTTGAAGAACAATACCCCCCAACACAATATTTACTCAAATACCCCGAGAATACCTCAAACCTCAGTGTTTGGTGTATTAATATACTGAGTCACATAATATTGATAATCGGATTTGTTATTATCATTAACATCAACGCCCAATTGTTTAAATCATACAAGTAACGGTAATGCCCCTATTATCAGTTTACAAATGTATCCTGATTGATTGTTTCGGTTACGGTCTCATTAATGGGTCAAACCTCCAGCGCGCCTGGCGGTACAGTTATGTTCTCGTGAAGCGGTGTTTACGTTCTGCTGTCACGTGGCTTCGGGTCGCTTCATGTTGCTATGGGCGACATCGCAGTTCATACAGGCGTACTTGATCACATCGCTGTGAGTAACTAGTCCCTGGGATGAAAGTATTTTACACCTGGAAGTAAATATTTGGATGTGTTTAGTGTTTAGTTTCGTGAAAAACACATATATGTGGATTTATTATACTACTTTGTAGTGCTTGTTGTTGGTGGAATCATTGACCATAAATCAAACCGCGGAAGAATATCACCATTCAACTGTCTGCTTGCGATAGAAGCATGTTACTGTCATGTTAAAGGTAATCACAGTTTGCTGTAATAGATTATTTTAGCTGTGTTCATTGAAATCGACGCTGATTTCATATAACCGGTAGACATCAGGTAAGTGTCGAGTATCTCTCAAGATGCCGACAACTTTGCCTTTGTCGAATTTGGTGGACCTGGCCCTTGGGACACCTGAGGTGGGGGCTGTCAATTTCAATGTTTTACACACTTTACTCCATGCGATGATCTCTAAACTAAACATAAGAGATGTCAAAGCCGACATCAATGAAAGTGATCGTGATTTCCTTTCGTCGACCAAATCCCAAAGAGTGATGACAGGCCTTAGTGATATTGACAGTGGCAAAGGGGAAGATTCGGAGGATGCATTAAGTGAAATACGAGATTCTAGTGAACTAGACTCCCCTGCCTCCTCAGCCAAACACAAGTCGAAAAGATCAGTCCCGTACCATCATCTTGAACTACGGGTAGAAAAACTTGCTGAACAATTAGAAAATTTAAATGCGTTGCCTACAAATTCGGATCTGTTTGAAAGAGCCAAAGCTAAAGGTGATGGAGAAAGACCTATAGCTGATATGTGGCAGTACATGCAACTGAAGAAACGTGTGGATGCCAATGAAGAAGGCGTTGGAAAGGTAAATATATGTTTCTCATTAAAAATGTAGATCTACATAAAGAATATCTTGTCTCAAATACATAGACCTATTCAATATTGAATTGAAATATCTCAGAATGTTCTGTTTAAATATATTGTCAAACTGACAATGATATACGACATTTCAGCGCATATTAATGGTAAGGGCGGATAACAATATGTGACTGGTTTCAGTGACATAAATCAACTGATAATGCTCATGAATGGGTGGGGGGCATGGGTTGCCCAGTCGTCTAAGGCGCCGCAATTCGCTGTACAGAGTTGCGATTGTGGTTTCAAATCCCGGTTCGCCCAGATTATGTTTATAGGTTTGTCAGCACAACACCTGTGCTCGGGGGTTTCACCAAAGTGGTCTGAGACCTGTATCACTTGGGGCTTTCCTCCCACATTAAGCTGACATGCCTGCGATATAACTGGAATACAGTTAAAAGCGGCGTTAAACCAAACTCACTCATGAATGAATGGGTGTGAGTGTGGTGGGGTCGGGGAAGTTTATTAACAGCATCGGCAGATCCAAAGGGGGATCCGGATGTAGTATGTTGTCGGCTAGGGACGAGACCAATTTTTTAGTCCACTCGCCCTTATAATGATAACATAGCAAAACCCATAAAATAGCAAATTTCTACTAGTCCTTGTGATACCTTAGACATTGGGCAATTTGGCAAGGACTACAGGACTAGTGCAAATTTCTAACGCTTCATAAACTGAAGTTGACTGAAGTTAAATCTTAATTCAAACATATAAAGTCAGAAGAAATGCGTGCAAAGTCAGAAAGAAATGCAAACATTAGTTACTTATAGTGTAACCATAGAGTTCTAGATAAGTTTTGTCATTAAAATATATATCATGTGGGTCCGGGTAGTCCTTTGGGTACCTGAGTACCCACCCGACCTGAGTACCCGAGTTACCCTCCCAGCCCTATTGTAAAGCTGACCTATGAGCTATGAGGAATAACGGATTATACCCCCTAAAATACTTACCTTTAACACTAACATAATTATATTGGCAGAGCTAGTGGACAAGTGCTAATTTCCATCCCTGGTAAATTAATGCTGTAAGTTCCAAGCCTTGGTGATAATGTTTTTCCTGTAAGATTAGTCATGGAAAATACCCATAATTCCACTTAGCTTATAGGTAATTTAAAATTATAATTTTTTATCCATGATCCTTTTTTTTCTGAGAAAATGTAATTTTTTAAATTGAAAATCACAGAAGGATAATGTTGCTGCTAATGCTGGGCATCAAATATTGAATGCTCAAAACCACCCACAAATATAAAACATGTTACCTATCTTCAAGTGACAAACCTTTACCATGCTTTCAAACTGCTACAGGAGAGCACTGGTCCCATGCTAATTTTCATAAGTGTGACAGTGGAGTTCAAGGCTCAGTTCATGGTCAGTTTCATGTTGACCAAGGGAATGTGATGTCAGTCTGTACACACATCTTATAGTCACTTATGAACCAGTGAGACAGTGATGACAAATATTGATGTACACAGTCCTTGTCGTTATCTGCAGATTACATCAGACAACGTGAACATTGTCTTGTCCAAACAGAGTTAATAGAATCTGCTGGGAAATTTCTACTCTTATGTAAATATTACTGTAATATGTATGTCTTGATTATCTAAAATCATCATAATCCTAATCAGCACCATAAAACTGAGCTGTGTATGAGTACAATTTGATAAAACCACCTTTCATTTTGAAAATTTTGATATAGATGTCAGGCATTGAAAAGTTATGTCGTTTGACAAAATCACTTTACACTGTAAAACGTGAAATTAATACGTCTCCAAAAGAATGCGACCGGTGGCCCTTAGCCAAAAATGTGACTCAATATGAATGCGACACCCCCTCCTCTCAAGCATCAGTGGATTTATATCTAAACAAAATGTCCTCTGTCAGGTTTACAGGAGATTACTCGCCTTGATCCAACCTTACATTAATCCAATCACACACCAAATAGCACCGCTTATTAGCGCTGAGTAGAGTACTTCTGCTAAAACAATACGTGCACGCTAGCTCGTGTCGGCCTTTGATGCAGTTGCAAAGAACAAAACCACTGTGTTGGGTGGGTGGCGTCTGTCTGGACTTGCAGGTGTGATCAGTGATGACATAAGTGAGTAGAACGCTTGTCTTGACGACAGCGTGGAATACATAGTTGTTTGTTTTCAGCGTATGTCTAAGTTGGTATTTCTGCTATACAAAATGTCTTATTGTTCATATAAATGCGATGTTTAATAATGCGAGCAAAGACCACTCGCATTTTTCGCATTTAATTCACGCTTGCGTTAATTTAAAGATTTACTGTTTTATTCCGAAATTGTTTTCATGTATCATTTCACTAGGGACCATATAAAGAATTGCATCATATTGGCTGAAATCTCCCACATCTGGTGTGTGTGTGTGTGTGTGTGTGTGTGTGTGTGTGTGTGTGTGTGTGTGTGTGTGTGTGTGTGTGTGTGTGTGTGTGTGTGTGTGTGTGATTCATTAAGTACTATCGACATGCTTAAATATATTTCAGCAATAGTAGAAAAAGATGAGTTACAAGCCTGCCCAACAAACATTTCAATTTGGACAAACACACATGAGTGTTAAAACATTTCTGGGGGTCTGGGAGTCGTTGAATCTAGGAACACGCCCCATCCCTCCCCCCTTGATCCAAATGTTTAAGTTTTAATGTAAGTGTTGTGATGAGGACCTCTTGATTTCAGGTGTAATTTCGAACATTGTCTTGTAAATTCTAGATTTCTTAAGGTACATTCACTCCTATTGTAAGATCTGACTCAATTTTAACAACAAACAAGCCCAGATGTCATGGATGTTTGCTCATGTGAGTGAGTATGGTTTTACGCCGCTTTTATCAATATTCCAGCAATATCACGGCGGGGGACAGCACAAATGGGCTTCTCACATTGTTGCTCAGGTAGTATACCACTGATTTGCCTGGCTCTACCTCTTATCATAATTACAGGCTGCAGGGATGTAGCTGAACTTGATGACTTTGCTGTAAAGGCAGCATTCACTCAGACTTAGGGTTATAAGTGATTCCTAGATGCTTGCCCTTGTTGTAAGGTGAAGGTGAAATTGGGTTTAACGTTGCGTCCAAGATTATTGCACTTATATAGCGACGTGCATGCATGTGTGTGTGTGTGGCTGCTTGTACTTGTCCGGACTGATGCCGATTTATAGTGCTGGCACACTGAGATACCATGCCACAGTTTAACATGAATACCCCACTCAGACACAGTATACTGACTCTGAGCCGACCAGTCCTTGTTTTAGCCCTTTAATGCCGAGCGCCAGACAGGGTAACAACAAGTACCATCTTTTAACGTCTTTTGGTATGACGCGGTCAGGGATCGAACCCCGGACCTTCCGCTCTCTGGGCGGACGCTTTACCACTAGACCATGGAGGCGGTCCTGCCCTTGTTGTAAGTGGGGTCAACTGATCAGGTTGTCAGGCTTGATGTCCTGGTTGATTATGTGTCCTTGTACCCTGATGGTGTGGGGCATTCATAATATCAATCACTGGTTTGTTTGGCCCAGGCTCGTTTATTTACGAGACTCTGTCATATAGCTGGAATACTGCTGAGTACGGTGTTACACAAGAAATGAACAAACAGTATGCCGTAAATCGCATCATCGTTGTTATTATACATATCTTGTTGTCTGAGGTCATCTCACTGCTAACGTAAGTCAATTCATGACATTGTTACAGTAACAGACCAACAAGAAGAGAGTATAGATAAGATTGATTGACCACAGATAAGTGAAAGTGGACGCTCACAGCCCACGCATTCTAACACCTTGCTGTAATTTGTGTCGTCTAGAGTTCCCAAGTCCTTTTCACTGATCAGCAATGCTTCATTGCACACGCTCAGACATTTTATTCACTTCTATTGTGCCACTTGACATAGGCCAATACCGTTATCCTGTTATTCTGGCCTATACATTCGTGTCAACTGTGTTACTAAACTCATACTGGTATATTCATGAACAGGGCCTGTGCTTGGGGCATGTTTTGTTGAATTGGACTTCTTTCATGGGGGTCTTAGAGATCTTGAAGGATATGGTATATTCTGACATGGCTCTTTGTTACACATTCCTTCCATTATGGGTCTACCCTAGAGTGAAAAACTTTCCAATAGGTGCAAAGTAGTGTGATTACTTTCACGTTTATCGCTTTAGGTTGGTTTTATACTTGATAAAGGGCGTAGCTGCTGAATTTGTCTTGAATAATAATACAATTTGCTGGCTTGATTTTATTAGAAGTTTGTTTCTAAGTATTTAGAGTCTCCTATGACTATGACTGGGACAAGTATCATATAATAGTTTGAGTAGGGGGCTCATATTCATTTAATATCTTGTTTGGTGACTTGTTATTAACATTGCAATATAATTATATACTACTCAAAAGAAGTTAAGGAACACCCAATTTGTTCACATGACTACAGTTAGTTTGTCATGGCTGGTGTGTATTGCAACACACTGCCTTCCAATTGGGGGTGTTCTTTAACTTCTTTTGAGTAGTATATAATATACCTATTATGTACATGATGTAAGTAAGTGTCAGAAAATTAGCCTTACTTATCAACAAAATCAAATTAAATTCAATAAATGATATCAGTAACATTAGCATAATGAGCGAGTCATGTTTTGCTTACGATTTTAATTTGAAGTTAACTATTAGGCTGAACGGCCAAAAAGCTAATACTTCTTTTGGCATTTAAGTTTTGATTTTATTGTGAAACCATTACTTACACAACGGGATCGGGTGGTTAGGCTCGCTGACTTGTTTAATGCATGTCATCGTATCCCATGCGTGGATCGATGCTCATGATGTCAATCACTAGATTGTCTGGTCCAGACTCGATTATTTACAGACCGCCATCATATAGCTGGAATATTGCTGAGTGGGCGTTAAACAAAACAAACAAATAACTACATAACTGCTGATATATTAGCACTTAAT